TCTGTCTATATTTCTGAGATGAGGTATTATGTACACTATTTACATTATTCGGACTATTGTCCTCATCTTTGTCGCCATATTTATTACAATGTTTCGCCTTTCAGTATCTGTCTATATTTCTGAGATGAGGTATTATGTACACTATTTACATTATTCGGACTATTGTCCTCATCTTTGTCGCCATATTTATTACAATGTTTCGGCCTTTCAGTATCTGTCTATTTTCTGAGATGAGGTATTATGTACACTATTTACATTATTCGGACTATTGTCCTCATCTTTGTCGCCATATTTATTACAATGTTTCGGCCTTTCAGTATCTGTCTATATTTCTGAGATGAGGTATTATGTACACTATTTACATTATTCGGACTATTGTCCTCATCTTTGTCGCCATATTTATTACAATGTTTCGGCCTTTCAGTATCTGTCTATATTTCTGAGATGAGGTATTATGTACACTATTTACATTATTCGGACTATTGTCCTCATCTTTGTCGCCATATTTATTACAATGTTTCGGCCTTTCAGTATCTGTCTATATTTCTGAGATGAGGTATTATGTACACTATTTACATTATTCGGACTATTGTCCTCATCTTTGTCGCCATATTTATTACAATGTTTCGGCCTTTCAGTATTCGTCCATATTTCTGAGATGAGGTATTATGTACACTATTTACATTATTCGGACTATTGTCCTCATCTTTGTCGCCATATTTATTACAATGTTTCGGCCTTTCAGTATCTGTCTATATTTCTGAGATGAGGTATTATGTACACTATTTACATTATTCGGACTATTGTCCCCATCTTTGTCGCCATATTTATTACAATGTTTCGGCCTTTCAGTATCTGTCTATATTTCTGAGATGAGGTATTATGTACACTATTTACATTATTCGGACTATTGTCCCCATCTTTGTCATATATTTATTACTAAATGTTTCGGCCTTTCAGTATCTGTCTATATTTCTGAGATGAGGTATTATGTACACTATTTACATTATTCGGACTATTGTCCCTCATCTTTGTCATATATTTATTACAATGTTTCGGCCTTTCAGTATCTGTCTATATTTCTGAGATGAGGTATTATGTACACTATTTACATTATTCGGACTATTGTCCTCATCTTTGTTGCCATATTTATCACAACGTTTCGGCTGTTTTACGCTACGGTCTTCTTCAAGTGGTTGGAATGTCGAACTGAGCTTTTTATTTCGCTCGCTGGACTGCCACTGTGCCATTAAGGTGCCACGCTTAAGGACACATGGCACAGTGGCACCCCAGCCACTTAAGGACACATGGCACAGTGGATAAAGGCGTTGGTTAGATCCAATGACAGGACCAAAAGAGTTGTGAGTTCAATCCCTGGTTAAGGCAGTGGAGAACTTGGAGAGGGGAATTAACACGAAATAACTGATAACTGATATTCATTAGACATGGCACATGGAACTAGAACAGTCTACCCCAGTGAACGAAATAAATGTCCTGACCTGGCATCTCGGCTTCAGTCTCTTTCCCAAAGCCGTAATGTAGCTTCCCTATGCCTTTCCTATAAATACTTTCATAGTAACCGTTCGATTATACTTTTCGCTATTGTACGAAGACTTTATTAATTTAAGCGCAGTACTAGATTGGCGGAGAGGTCTCATAATTTTACAGTTGAAATGGTTAAATGTATCCGTAAATCTGTCTCCTGGATCTGTCTTAAATATTTATAAGTCTACACTTCATCTATGCTTTGAATATTGTTGCCAATTATGGTCTGGTGCTTTTGCTATATATTTAGAGATTCTTGATAAAATCCAAAGAAGAATCAGCAATAATTTTGGTCCTGACCTGGCATACTCGGCTTCAGTCTCTTTCCCAACGGCGTAATGTCGCTTCCCTGTGCCTTTTCTATAAATACTTTCATCGTCATTTTTCGGATAAGCACTTTGTATTATTTAAGTCCCACATTAATTCCGTCCCGTTAACTGAATTTTCTGCCACAATTAAGGATTAAGTTTTTATTATTATTATTATTATTATTATTATTATTATTATTATTAAGACTATTTTATTTAGTTTCTTGTAAATAACTTACTTCATATTGTAAATATACATTGCAGTTTAGATTTTTAAATTGTTGTTTTATTTCCCTCCACTCAGAGACAAGAATTGTACATATAGGGACTAGTCAGGACCTCATAGAGATTCTACGGCATTACAGAAGATGTTTGGTTCTACAGAAGGATGCTGAGGATATCATGGACCGAACGTGTGAGCAAGAGAGGTTGCAAACAAGGAGGAGGCTTATACTTAACATCAGGAAGAGACAGCTGAAGTTTCTGGGACACATAATGAGGAAGGAGGGCTTGGAGAATCTGATACTCACAGGTCGAATAGAGGAAAAGAGAGACAAGTGAAATCATCGCGTGATATGACTAGTGGGCTTAAGCAAGTGGATGACAGAATGTGGTCTGGGGGAGGAAGCAGAGGGAAGGAACTTGTTGAGAGCTGCAAGGGATAGAGGGAGGTGGAGAGCCTGAAAAAACATGGCACATAAAAAGAAAGAAAGAAACATTAGTACTAGTAATATTATCGTGAATTTTATTATTAGATAAAGCATGCTCGAGGTGACAGAGATGTGGTTCTACAGAAGGAAAGCAGCTTGCTGAGAGCTGCAAGGGATAGAGGGGGGGTGGAGAGCCAAGATCGCCTACGTCCTGAAAGAACACGGCATGTAGAAAGAAAGAAAGAAAGAAAGATAAGTAAGAATTTGTTGTTTTGGTTTAATGAATACTGTGGTATGTCTGGGTCAGTGATTGTAGCTAGATAGTTTTATTTATAAGACAGAATACGGCCATAATTTCCCTCATTCGCCTTTTGGCCTTGTGCCACATTTTTGTAAATTTTGCAAAATAAATATTGCTCTTCGCTATGGTTCCCAGACTTTATGAATTTAAGCGCAGTACTAGATTAGCGGTAAGGTCTCATCATTTTACAGTTGAAATGGCTACATATAACCGTAGGTTCTATGCTAAATGTTTCTTTTCTCGTACTTCTCGCTTGTGGAACTCTTTACCGGGTTCATGCATTCTAACAAAGTTATTCTTTAAAAATTTAAGGCAATCATTATCATTTCTCTTCTTTTATTTACACTATTTATATTATTCGGACTATTGTCCTCATCTTTGTTGCCATATTTATCACAACGTTTCGGCGATCAGGATCAAGGCATCAGAAGATGTCGATTGACATTATATTTGAATATTTGAAGACTATAGCTGTCAGGGAAGCCGGGTCTAATCTTCACGGCTAAGGCCCATCATGTGCATGACGGGCCTTAGCCGTGAAGATTAGACCCGGCGGAACCAAGGAAAGTAGTTCGTCGGGACAATTTCCCTAGCAGTAGCGATAGAGCAGTGAGAGGATGAACACTTCCGGCTCGTAAGAGAGAGGTTGGAGGGTGGAAAATAAACGTCACCCAAAAGGACTCGGGGACTCTATCGAGACGGGAAAGTGAGGACTGGGCAACTCCTGTCCAAATGTGACAATAATACTCCATTTTCGGTCTGATCTGGCTCTTATAAAGCTGGGGGATGACGAGGGGGGAGTCAGGTACTTACTGGAGCGGCACAGGGAGCTGATCATTTTACCAGCATCTTTAGCGATCGATCGTATATACGATTTCTACTTAAGGTCAGAGGTGAGTTTGAGGCCCTTTATTCTCTCAAGGCACGTGGCATCCTCGTGAGGATATCTGTTCATTGTGACTGGCGTGTATTAAAATTAGGTTTATTAGTGTATATATGATAGCATTTGTCCAGGGAAAGTAATAAATTAAAAGCTTAAATTGTTCATTTGTTTGTTGATAAACTACATTTTCTAATTAAATGTAAATGTTTGGCAAATACATTTGGATTTGTAACAGTATCTCTATCTATAAAAGGCAGGATGTGTGTGTGTAACGAATGCACGGCCGCAATTTTCAACGGATTTGCACCAAAATTTACATGGACATGCTCCAAATTAGCGGGAAGGACAAGACCGACTTTGCATTTCCCAACTCCCATCTATAGTGAAAATAATCGATTTTTTCATGCTACTACGGCAGTTTTCATGTAGTTTGCGGCCATTTTGTACTGTCCAGAGTGAGAGCCTATAGCTGGCTGCCACAAATAGGCAGAAAGATTTTATTGGCCAGCGTGAGAGCCAACAGCTGACTAACACGAATGTTAACTAGCATGCAAAAAAAATCGATAGCTGCATTCGTCACAAGTGGGAAAAATTTAAATCTGCATGGCATTTTACTCCAATTGGCTCATTCGCTTGCTTAAACTCAACGTTGATTCTGATTCCGCAGAACTGCGTTGGGTGTGAAAAAGTATTTGTTGTTAACATTCTTTTTTCATTCGGTTTTTCCAGTTAGGAGTCCTTTTTTTTTTTAAAGCTGACCGTTTTGTGTTCATTTTGTTTAGTTCTTTTTTCGTAACAGATTTAATGTTTAGTATAGAGCTTAGAAAAAATTCGCAGTGTGAGATAGGCAAGAATTAAGGCATGTAGCAACAACAGCACGGCAAAGGGCACTTCTTTAAAGGCAAGGAAGGGCAAAAATATTTTAAGTCAAGTAATAGCGATTGCTGTATGAGTCATACGATTTTTGAATCAAGCATGGGCAACGCCAGGCCATGCTGCTAGTGTTATATATATATTTTTTTAACCCTATCCAAGAATTTTATAAAAAAAGAAAAAAAAAAGATAGAGCCGATGACACAATATTTCAAGCTCAATTTAGGTCTATATTTCGTGACCGTGCAATGAGATGAGGTGACATAAACCGTAGATTTGTCTGCTGAATATCAATACATTTATTGTTACATAATTAGAGTGAATTCATTAAGGTTTTTGTCAAAAGCATTTTATTTTTGGTCGTATATTAATTTAAAATATTCCTTTTTACAAACTTTATTTTTGAAATGGAATAAGATCATTTTATATTTCAGAATATT